GAGAGAGAGAGAGAGAGAGAGAGAGAGAGAGAGAGAGAGAGCGAACGAGGAGACAAGAGCGTGAATTAGGAATAATGATTAGCGATCGTATAGCTTGACTCCCTATGTGCAGTTCGAGGTTTGTAGGTTGGTGGGACCGTATAAAATCCGTTATGCGCGCTTATATATGCACTACTACAACGAGTGAAAGCGATCGCACATTCGAAAGAAGCTCGACACAGCGCACGACGTTGCATTTTGATTGCAATTTTCACGTATATCGGCGCCCGTGTTACTACGCGGAATAATAATCGGAATTGCTTTCCAATGTTACACGAGTCCTCGTCGCTGTGTTGAACGAGATTCAATTAACTCTGGCACGATTAGGAGGACAAGTTCTACACAGAACCGTTTCTTTAGTTTCTTATGGAAGAGAAAACGGACACATAAAATTGATAAAAATAATTGTTATTTAAGATACTTTATAAAAAGATATTATTTTATAAAATGTAATTAATTTTATCTAAAAGATTTATTTAATAAAAAATTGTTTACAAAGAATAGTTTACTCTCGAAATAAAAAATCTCAAAGTTTATTTATTGTTATTAATTTTTTTTAGAAGTATAAAATGTTGAAAGATTTTATAAATTTCATGTTCCTTTCGCGCGTGGAATTAGAAGATAAAAAGTAAATAGAATCGAAATTAAAAATAATCTCATACATTGGTGAAACGGAGCTTTCATTTGTCAATTACGTTGCAGTTAGTTCGTACTCCCTACATTATTACGATTGGCTAAAGTAGAAGCGACAACCAGCAATCTGTAGTGTGATTAAAAGACATTTTTTTAATATTTTATGTCCTGATTTTGGACTTTGTGCTGAGTTAGAGATTACTTAACCTTTAGACTGTCGGGATTTGAGATATTAAACCGTCCTTTAAAAGTGGCCAAACTTGTGTCTTGTATCAACTATATACAAAGTTCATATCATAGACCGAGCCGATATATCGGCTTCCCGGCAGGATAAGATAAAGAAAAAATTTTGAATCATGAAATTTTTAAATAAGTATTAATAAGGGGTTTTAGGAGCGCTGAATTTGATGGTAATTACCCACAGCTAACGACATGGACGTAGAGAGTATTTATGTAGCTCCTTTTTTCTTTTTTCTATTTTTTAAATTTTTTTTTAATTTTTTTTATGTGGTTGTCTGGATGTATGAATCTAAACTTTAGTATATTTGGTAACATACATATATGTTTCTTACAGATAAAAACTGATTTTCCTCAGAGCCGATACATCGGCTTTCCGGTAGCCTTAAGGTTAATGGATAGTAGGTCTTTTAGCAAAATAATTACATATTTATGGTTTACAAAAAAAAGGATATCACAAAAGTTTATGCTTAACATCAGGTTTTTGTATTATGTTTTAAAGGGGCAGTCTGGTCAAATTAACATAATTTTCAAGAATTTTTTTTAGTACGCCAAGAATGTATTTGTACAAAAGTGTGTTTCCACAATTAATGTATATGTTTTTAAGAAAATTTTAACTGAAAAATTTTTTTTTGCACCCTTGCGGAGATATGGATTTTTGAAGTTGGCGCTGATTTAAAACGGCAGACATGATAACTGGCCTAGGAATCGTCTGAAATACAAAAATCGAGTGCTTTTTTAAAAAGTGGACCTGTGGTTATCGTCCGTACTAGAATCATTGACATCCGATGAGAAAAAACAAAATGGCGGCCTTTAGAAAATTTTGCCTCTTTTTTTACACATTAAATTGTTTTAAAAAAGGGTTAAACATTAACGAATATTTATGATTCTAGTACGGACGATAGGTAGATATGTGTAGAATAATCCCTGATAATTTCAAGCGATTTGGTTCAGTAGTTTTTTCAGAATCGTGTCTGCCAGGTCAAAAAACGTTGTTTTGAGAAAAACGCGTTTAAAGTTTTTTTGTAATAATTAACAAAAGTAAAAAAAATAATTTTCAAAAGTTAACAGATTACGGCTATTATAAACCAACCCTTACACGCACCAATGGTATTTCCTCGGCGGGAGTAGGCGAGAAAAATGACGAAAATTTGTGCATATCCTGATTGCAAATCAGGAAATACAAGTGATAAGAGAAAAAATAATCGCGCGCGGAGACCCTTCTATTGTATGGCTATTTTCAGCCTCTTTTCGACTGTTTCTGCGTAAACCGTTTCTGCGTATACCGATCACTACCATATTTCTACGACCATATAGTATACGAAACCGATGTTTTTTAAAAATCGAATTTTTCTAAAATTTCTGACCAGACTGCCCCCTTAAGTTGTTATAATTTTAAATATACGGTCAATAAAAATCTCGACGATCGAAGATTATTACTTCTTGGAGAACGAACTGACTGACGTTTGACGGGTGCTTGAATAACGAGCCACGGTCAACAACGGGAGAGCAAGGAAATCATTAACGGATACCGTCCAAGGTTGGTCAATGGCCGTGACCGTCGAGAGACGGGTGCGCGCGCGTGTACACGCACTCGACATACCTGTTACCTCGACAAATCCTTGATCCCGGCATTCATCTTCCCGATCTTTCTCGTCCACCGCGTAATCATTATAGCTTATAAAGCTCTTCAGACTAAGTCGGATAAAACGATATTGAGAGAAAATTAGAATGGAGATCTCTGATTGACCGATCTCGATCTACGGTTACACGGTTGAACTATGTCGAAAGATGCGCTTAAAAGCCTATCGATTAATACGAAGTTTAGCCGAAAGAGAGATAACCGCCGGTTATACGTATAATAAATTCATGTAGCGGTCAAAGGATGATTGCTCGCACGTTACACGTACGCCGAAGTTCTCTCGATCTTTCCCTGCGATTGCTCTTTCCACTCCATCACACTTTCTGAACATTATTCGTCCTGGGAGCATTTAGCAGCACCAAGCGGGCGTGTTTCTTTTTATTAGTGCGATTAACTAGCTCGATTAACGTTACGATTAATTAACAAAGCCCCGGTGGTGCTTCATTTCGGCATGAAAAGGATCGCGGAAAGAAAAAAAAGAGAAGGAGTTAACCAGATCTCGTGATCCATGTCTTCCGTTCCAATACGTCCCTACGCACAGTGGTCTAAAAAAGCGGTTTGCTGCTCAAAATTCAATAATTTTTAAATTCATGGTAGTATCAATATGAAAATTGATACACATAATCCAAAATATATTTTTCAATAAATAATAGAGAAAAATTGAAGTATATGTATTTGTAAGAATCACAAAAATAGTAATAACAGTTAAATTTTATTCAATTTTTATTT